GCAGTATTCCAACTGCGGTCTGACCAGCGCCCGATAGAGGGGAAGTATCACCTCCTTGGTTCTGTTCGTCATGCATCTGCTGATGCACGATAAAGTGCCATTAGCTTTCCTGATGACTTTGTCACACTGACGACTCATGTTCATCTTGGAGTCCACTAGGACTCCAAGATCCCTTTCCGCTTCCGTGCCACCAAGCAGGTCATTTCCTAGGCAGTAGGTATGCTGGACATTTTTCCTCCCTAGGTGCAGCACTTTGCATTTCTCCTTGTTGAATTGCATTCTGTTGTTTTCTGCCCATATGTCCAACCTGTCCAGGTCTGCTTGTAGTTGTTCCCTGCCCTCCAGTGTGTCCACTTCTCCCCACAGTTTTGTGTCATCCGCAAACTTGAACAGAGTACACTTCACTCCCTCGTCCAAGTCACTGATGAAGACATTGAAGAGTATTTGTCCAAGGACTGAGCCCTGCGGGACCCCACTGCCCACACCCTTCCAGGTCGATACTGACCCATGCACTATGACTCTCTGGGTATGACCCTCTAGCCAATTCGCCACCCACCGGACTGTGCAGTCATCCAAGTCACAGCCTCTTAACTTGTTCACCAGTATGGTGTGGGATACTGAATTGAAGGCCTTCCTGAAGTCTAAGTAAACGATGTCAACCCCTACTCCTGCATCCAGGTGTTTTGTAACCTGGTCATAAAAAGAGACTAGATTAGTCAGGCATGATCTACCTGCTATGAACCCATGCTGGTTTCCCCTCAGCATAATTTTTCTAGCTGGGCTCTCGCAAATGTAAGCCTTGATAATTTTTTCAAAGACTTTGCCAAGGATGGAGGTGAGACTGACTGGCCTATAGTTATCGGTTCAATTAATGCAGCTTAGACTAACCTGAGAAGATTGAATTGATTCAGCCTAGGGCTTTCTGACTGTCTGTACTTGGTTTTCCAGAGTAACATTAATAGATGTGCCATACCTGAGCCTTCAGGAATTTTCTCATCAGGAGCATCTTCCATGGTGTGTAGTTGTCTCAGCTGTTTTGCAAACCTGGCTGGATTATCCCATGGGATATAAGATACTTCATAATCACCACCAAGCATCGACCCTGAACTCTCCAGTAGACCAGAGTCATCAAGCTCAGTCAGCCTCAGGCTTTCAAAAGTAAACATTTTGAAGGCTCTTTCTACTTCAGCCCAACTCAAGAGTTCTGCAAGAAAATTAAAACCATTCATAGAAAGTGTCCTTATTGTTCAGTAAAAGATGAACAGCAGACTGACTAGGTGTATTGTCTTTGGCATCTCTGCTAAGCCTGACAAGGAAAATAATGGTGATAATAATTTACTTTAACTTGTCTCTTTCTGGAATCTAATTTCCTGAATTCTAGAAGACTGCAATTACACACTGAATTAGCACTGTTAAACCTGGCATATATTACACAGTGTTACTTGAAAAGCTTTTCATACATACTGAAAAGACAGGATAAAGAAAATGTAGAAAAGGGATCTTCAAAGGTCATCTGGTCCAACTCTAAGTCAGGACTATCCCGATCACCCATGAAGTGAGGGAGCCCCGGTCTAGCGCTCCCTTGTCCTCCAGCTGTGGCCGGGCAAACCAGCAGGCAGCTCCCTGCTGTTCTCTTCCCCCTCCCTCCCCTGCTAACAGTCACCTGGAGGCAGTGCAGGGCTTGGAACAGAGGTAGTTCAGGCTGAAACAGAGGTAGTTCAGGGTTGGTGCAGGCAGGCTTGATTTTGCCCCACCCCCCTCAACCCCTGTTGGGTTTGGGATTGGGGTGGGGGGGGGCAGGCAGCGAGCTGTAACTCATGGTGCTTTGTATAAAATGCCATAAGTTAGAGAGTGACCCTAACATCTGGAGGCACCCAAGGTCAGTTGTGGAGCTCTGCTTCATTTTACTGCTGCTGAGCTTTGTCCCCTACAACATCCACATGTTCTGGGCTTCAGAGCTCTTCTTATGATTCCCTGAGCTAAAAACAAACAACTGGTTTGATGCGGCCGTAATTAGGACAGGCTCAACTATTTATATACTAGACTTAAATAGCAATTAAGTCAAATTAATTTGAATAATTCGCTGGTACTTAATGTGGGATAATGGACTTGTAAGTCTGGGAGGGCTGCAGTTTGGTGCAAGACAAGAAGCTGAAATGTGAACCAAGCCAGTTGTCTGTTTTTAGTTCTAGCAGTGTGTGTGTGGAGTGTAGGGGGCAGGGGTAGGGAAGTTCTGAGCTTCCAACTGTTGCCCTTTACAGCACACATAGGTTCTTGAAAACCTCCAGTGATGGAGATTCTACAACTCCCCTAGGCAGTCTATTTTACTGCCTCACTGCTTTAACAGGGAAGATGTTTTTCCTGGTATCCAATCTAAATTTACCATATCTATTTCTTATCTCATATTTGAATCCAAAATTAGAGAAATGGCCAAAACCATTAACTTGAAGTAAAGCTCTCAGCTATGGTGTAGTCCACTGAATGCCACCAGAACTGATATCTACTGGCTGGTAGCATATACAAATATGAAGCACTTTTTAAAAAGTTGCATCTTAGTAATAATTATTACGTATATGCTGACAACTAAAAGCAATATAATTAGCGTATATTAATTTCAAGAGCGCATAATGTGTCTGCAGAAAATGGCAGCATGTAAAAAGAGTTCCAAGATCTATGCCCAATGACAGTAGGAAAGGAACTGTGGGGGCAGGGAAGTTTTTTATTTCGTGCAGTCATGGTGTGAACATTCAGACTCTAGAATGCATTTCATGTGGCTTTTCTAATTGTTTCACACTGCACATCATTCTTGCACACACAAACAGGGTAGGAGACCACAGTTCTTGATGGAGAAATAAGCTTAACTTACACATTTGACTAAAAGACTACTGTAAAAGCTGTTGTACTATTAATGCAAGAAACTCAAAGGGAATGCAATTTGACAGCCATCATTATTTTTAAGTAATGCTTGTTGATCAATATAAAGCTTTTTCTCAGTTCAAAAGTTATTGCACTATATATCTGTGGTTTCAAAACTCTGTTGTCTGCATTTGGATTGGCATGAAAGTTCATGTGATTAGCATTTTTTGCCTTTCCTCTTTTAAGCTTAATAGCAAACCTACATAACCTGTGAGTTCTGACACATTGTCAAGATCCAGGCCTCAGTCCTTTGGTCTCCGACAGGAATTGTAACTGGTTTGCTCACAACCTAGAAACTGACGTTTAGATTAGCCCAAACTTAATGCTAGATTAGGGTGTGAACAAGTGGATTTTACAAAAGGGCTGGTTATGGAAAATAATCTTAGATTGGGTGATCATGAACTGATTCAATTCAGTCTAATTTACAGTATAGACCAAGGGGTGAGCAATTATTTTGGGCAGAGGGTCACTTACTGAGTTTTGGCAAGCCATCAAGGGCTGCATGACAGGCAGCCCAGGGCAGATTAATATTAATTTTCTAAATTTTTAGGCGCCCCACGGGCCAGATAGAATGGCCTGGTGGGCTGTGTTCAGCCCGTGGGCTGCATTTTGCCCACCCCTGGTACAGACAATAGTGTCCATAACTAGGATTTTGGACTTCCAAAAGAGAAACTCTGAGAAACTAAAGAAACTCTAAGATGAGGGTAACAGGGTTGGCTAATCAATCTATATTTCAGCCAGACATTTGATACTGTGCCTCATAAGAAACTACTAGCTAGAGTGGAGAAGATGGGGATTAATACCATACTTTTATAGTAGATAAAGACCTGGCTAAGTGGGTAGGTTATACTTAGGGGTCTATCTAAATGGTAGGTGGATTTACCAATTTTCGCAGGTTGATTGTGGCCCAAAGCTTTAATTCTCTGGTCATTTCATGGTGGTTCCACCCTTTGGTGCTCATTAATGGAGACACTCCACCCCTCAGTGCTGACCAGTGGAGAAACCCTGGGCAGGGGGTAGAAGGGATGAGGGGGCAACTGTCATTTTCTCTGCTGCCTTTCATGTCACACCAGTAGCTGGTGCCTTCCCCTCCTGGCAGTGAGGACTGCTGGCTCCCACTGGGGAGCCCGAATTTTATTTTAAAGGTTTTTTTGTGTTGATTTTGTGGTTTCTGCAAAATCCACAAAACTGTGAATTAAGTAGATCCCCAGTTATACTTTAAGAGGAGAGGGGCTACCTGTGGTGTTGCTTAAGTCTTGGGGCATATCTAGTTAAGTATTTTCATCACTGACTCTGGTGCAAGAACCAGATGTGTGCTTACAAAATTTACTGGTCACATAAATTTAGGCAGTATTGCCAATACAGAGGAAGATGAGATTATTCTGTGATTATTATTCAGGGGGTGCATCTACATATACAATTACAGCACCTGAATAAACTGCATAGCTTGTTGCTCTGGAAGTAATTGCTCCTGGACATACCATTTGAATGTGTGCCTAGGAGCAATTAACTCTGGAACAATAAGCTTTGCAGTTTATTCAGGCAAAACATGTGGAGCCAAGGCAGAGCAGCCCTGGCTGGCAAAAAGCCCTGAGGGTCAGCCTGCCAGCCCAAGGTTGCTCTCCCTGGCTCAATGTGCTGGGGAATGCTGGCTGGGGCACAAGGATGCTTCAGTGTGGGGCTAGCTGGCATGCAATCCCCACTCTGAAGTACCCTTGTGCTTCAGCCAGCCAGGCAGCATTTACATATGAGCTGCTGCAGAGTTTTTTACTCTGTAACAGAATAGTACTTGAATTTACAAGTACTATCCTGCTGTGGAGTAAATTTGTTTACCTCAGGTTTTTTTTCCTTCCTTTACAGCATGGAGTATGGACCACCTGATAGGCTCAAACAAGTGTATTGTGAATACCTGCTATTTCAATAGCATAAATATTATTGGTACCCTTATTTCACCTGCTTTCTTTCTGTGGCACTTAGTTTCTCTTGCATGCCACAGCCACAGAGCACCTACTAGAAAATATATGAGAATATTTTGTAGGCCTTTCTGGGCAAAGCTGTCTGTGAAGGCAGGGGAATAGAATCAGTGGGCCTTCCAATCCTGCATTCATACATTCTGAAGAATGTATGAATTGGTGACTACTGGCTAGTACAGAGGTAATTTTAGTTGGAAAAATCAGAAACTTCCCCCCAAAGAATGGGTTCCCACCATCTCACAGGAATCTGTCCTTAAACAACAAAACAGCAATAGAAATGAGAATTCACCATTGGTACAATAATGCATGAGCTCATGGACTCTGGCCAAGCGTTTAGTGTTGTTCCCAGGTGAAGGAAGGGGGAAATGAAGAAGTTCCACAAGTGGAAGCTTGTCCATCATTTTCTGTTCAATCTTTTCTGGGTTTAAGTCCTCTTGGACCTGGAGCAAGGAGTGAAATTTAAAAAAAAAGGTAGTGTTTCATAACAAAGGATTTTTCAGCATTCATTTAAAATTTAAGGCAAAACATTTAAGTATGTGTTAACTCTGAAGTCAGTGGGACTTAAGCACATGCTTAAGCATAGCAAATGCTTATACTTCTTACTAAATCAGTGTAAGTAGAAGATGGAATGAGCTGTTTTTCTATTCTCTTCATTGTGGGGGAGTGGTAACTTAGTAGGAGGAAAAGAGAAGAACTGACAGAAGGCAAAATTAATAGATGTTTGTTAAAATCACAAAGACCATTTGCCATTATTAAACAGAAACTGAAATTTTCCTGGAATATTAAAATTATGTATTGATGTAATCTGTGAGAATACAGAGAATACTTCTTTATTAGCTTTTTTTCTTCCACATCTGATCTACACTATTAGCTATAGTGGCATCCTCCACAAGAGAGAAGTCATAAAACTCAGTCTCACTAGGTATGTCTACATGTGCTTTTACATGTGCCTAAATGGAATGTGCATTTGTCTAACGCACATTAAAGTGATACAGGTATGTGTCTAAGGTGCATTAATGCAGTGTGCAGACTGATTTGAAAATAAAGTTAGTGTCTACCATGTACTGAAGGACTGTGTCTCTGCTAAAAAGTATTTTCCTCCTTCACCAGCCAACCACACTACCTGCTTTCTGTTGGAATACCTTCACTATCTGACAACTTTAATCTGCTTCCAATATTGACTTTAAATGAATTCTAAAACTCCAAAGGACTAATTCTATATAAAGAGCTCTGTCTTCTTATGTTGAATACTGTGTTTGTCTATTCTATTCTATTCTATTCTAGTCTAGTCTATTCACTGCACTCACCACTAAAGCATCTCAATGCCTGACCTGGTTTCTTCAGAGTAATAAACTTGTGGTCCAAAGCAGAAACCATAAAGCTCCATGAAGTTCCATAAGGTTCCACAACATTTTATTTTGTTCTCATGATAAACAACAAAATGAACATGAGCCACCAATGTAATGCCATAGCTGGCAGAGCTAATCAAACACTGGCATGCATCTACTGAGGTATCTCGAGCAAAGCCAAAGTCTTTAACCTAAAGATGTTACCCTCCTGCTCTACCTGGTGAGACCGTAGCTGGAGTACTGCATCCATTTCTGGGTGCCACACTTCAGGAAGGATGTGGAGAAGCTCAAGAGAGTCCAAAGGAAGGCCATGTGCACGATTAGAGGCCTAGAGACCTGGTCATATGAGTAGAGGCTGAAAGGCTTGGGAATGTTCAGCCTGGAGAAGAGAAGACTAAGAGGGGACTTGGTGACAGCCTATAAGTATATCAGGGGAGTACATCAGGGCCTGGGGGAGCATCTGTTCACCAAGGCGCCCCAAGGGAGGACTAGAAATAATGGGCACAAGCTGACTGAAGATCGCTTCAGACTAGACATAAGAAAAAAACTTCTTTACAAGTTGAGTATCGAGGGTTTGGAACAGGCTCACCCCAGAGGTGGTTCAGTCACCCACCCTGGTGATCTTCAAAAAGCATCTTGGGGCCTTTGTACACACCATGGTTTTTGCCCTTTCTTGCACTGCAACAGCAAGACTGTTTGCCAGAAAGGGTATTCTGGACACTTTAAATGTCTTTCTGGCACATTAAAGTAAAACTCCTCAGATGTAGTTTAGTTTGGCTTGACACAAATTAAAGCATTGTGTCCATGGATTTGTTGCGGGCAAACATAAAGCCACTCAAAGATATGTAATGAGCCTTTTTGTCCACCAGATGGCACTCCACATTTTTTGTAGTTCACCCCTTCAAATTGCTTCTGCTTTTTTTCTTTTTCTTGTGCCATGTGCTGGCTCCATGCTCCCATAGCTGTGTGGCAGGGCACAGGGTGGGGGGCCGCACTGGACCATCTTGTTCTCCTGCAGCACCAGCTGGGACTGGGCTTAATTTATTCAAAAACCAAGTGCATGCAAACACTGACATGACACTTCAAAGCTTAATTTGTTTAAAAACCTAGTGCATGCAAACACTGATGGAATGCTCCAAAATAAACAAGTTAAATTTTATAAACCTATTTAGTTTAATGAGGATTAAACCCCATGGTGTGTACAGGTGCCCTCGATGCCCATCTTGCTAGGGTCATCTGACCCCAGTGGTCTTTCCTGCCCAAGTGTAGGGTCGCTCTACCCGATGATCTGTAAGGTCCCTTCCAGGCCTTAAAAACTATGAAACTATAGTGTACTAAGGCTGTGCAAAATTTTGCTGGTTGTTTCATTTTGACACTGTTTTGACTCGTTTTGAACTTGAAACAGCCTCAAAACAAAATGAGGGCAGTAGAAATGTTTCAAAAGTTTCAAAACATTTCATATTTTGAAGCTGAAGCTGGGCTTCCCTGCAGGGAAACAGAAAATAAGGAGAGGGAGGGGGAAGAGGGGGGAAGGACTGCTCTGATATTGACTGTGACTGTTTGGCTACCTGAGATGCTGCTGGTGCTACTGTACTGCTTACTAAGTTATTACCTGCTGTTGTTTAAAGTGGTGGACCAGGCTGAGACTGTAGGGGAGGAGGAGACCTCATTGGGGAAGCTACTATGTCGTGTAGAGGCCCCAGTGCCAGTGAGGGTACAACTTAACACACCCACACAGTCACATGTCATGAGTGTTGCTTGTCAGCAGCTTGAGATGCAGTTTCCCAGAAACCCCTCCACCTATCTCCTTGAAACCTGGCAGGCTTCATGGCCTCAGCAGGGACTACCATGTCTTCAGTTTTCACCCTGTTGTGCCTTCACACACACACACGACACGAGTTTTGCTCATCAGCAGCTTCAGGTGCAGTTTCACAGACACCCCTGTACCTATATCCTTGAAACTTGGCAGGCTTTGTGGCCTCAGCAGGGGCTACCATGCCTGCTGTTTTCACCCCACTGTGCTTTCACACTTACAAGTGACATGAGTTTTGCTTTCAAGACCTTGAGGTACAGTTTCCCAGAAACCCCTATACCGATCTCCTTGAAACTTGGCAGGTTTCATGCCCACAGAAGTGTCTGCCATCCCTGCTGTTTTAATCTACATCTGCCAAAAAATGACAAAGTTATAGGCAGTTTTGTGCTTCCCCATTATAGCCTATGGAAAAATGTCAAAATAGCATCAAAACAGCGAACCAGTTTCAATGAAACGAAACAGAACAGTGCTTTTGAAACTAAATGAAACTCAAAATGAAACACTGTCCCATTGAAATGGCAAAACGGAAGTTGAAATGAAATGGTGCTGTTTCGCACAGCCCTGTAACATAGTCCATCTTATTGTTTACATGGAGATTGCACTCAAGGGGATGCTCAGACCACTCAAGACCTGTTTCAGTGTACTTGAGATGGGAATGCTCTCATGGCTCAATTCAGGACTTCCTAAAGTGGGGTGCAGCACACCACCCCTCGGATCAGGAGGAGGTTGGGGTGAGGTGTTGCTGGAGTCCTTTGGCTGGCAGGGAACACTGAAGAGTCAGACAGGGAGCAGATGCACAAGGGTAGGGGTAGCAGGGGAGGATCATGCCTGGCACAGTTGCAGCTGTCCCTGGTTGATCTGGGGGTAGGGGGAGTCCCAGAGCTTCACCTGTCCTTCTCCAGCCATGAACTACTGGGAGCAGCTGCACAGGGTGCTGGGCTTGGACAGGGACAGCAGTTGCTTATTCTAGTACCTGCTCTCTGCCCACTCCCTGTTCCTCTAGGTGTACCCTGCTAGCTAGGAGCAGGTGCTAGAAGGAGGAACTTGCATGCCGCTGATGCTTTCTCCAGCTGAGCTCAACATTCTGAGTAGCTACTTCTGCAGCCTGCAGCTGGAGCAGGGTAAGAGAGGCTTTGGGGCTCCACCTGTTCCTGCACTACACAGGGACAGCAGTGCCAGCATGCAGGTTTCTCTTTCCAATGCCTGCTTCTAGCCAATGTGGGACACTGTTGTGGAGGGACTGACGGGCAGTGAGCAGGTGATGGAAGACAGAACCTGCATACTACTGCTGCTATCCCTTGCTGAGCCTGGTTTCTGCACAGCCACGGCCCATGGTTGGAGCAGGGCAGGAGCAGCTCTGGAGCTTCCCTTCCCCTCAGGTCAGCCAGGGACAGGGGCAGTGTCTGAATGGAGTGGGGTAAGACTGCAACCCCAAGTCCTCATAATTTACCCCTGGATGCTTCCAGAGTGGTTTTACTACTATAGTTCCAGGTTTGGCTTGTCAAAGTAAGAGAGTATAGGTAGAACATGCTCAGGACTGTTCATGGTGTAAAAACATTTGAAAATTAACATAGTGCACTGCATGCCAGGATCTCCATAGTTTCATAGTTTGTAGGGTCAGAAGGGACCTTGACAAATCATCAAGTCCGACCCCCTGCCATGGCAGGAAAGAGTACTGGGGTCAAACAACCCCAGCAAGGTGTTCATCTATCCTCCTCTTAAAGAGCCCCAGGGGAGGAGCCAGCACCACTTCTCTTGGAAGTTGGTTCCAGATCCTAGCTGAAACACAATGACCCCTTTCCACTGCAACAAGAATTTCTCCCTGTTACTTCACTCACCCCAAGTCATCCCAGCTGGGACTTGAACTCAGCTCTCCCATGTGGTAGGCAGAAACTACCACACAACCACCAGTGGTGAAAGAACTGCGTTATCCATGGGTGGCTTCAATCTGTTCTGGATGATCCTTAGACTTTTGATATGTGGTAAAAGTTGCCATCAAATGGACAAAGTTTGGGCTCTTCTACTCTGTGTTGTTGAAACAGTACTCTGAATTAATGACCTCTCTGTCCTTTCAAGTGTATTAATGTTCACTGTCTGTAGATTTTAACACTGCTGATATAAGACACAGAAGTATACCTTTAAGAGGTGCAGCCTCTGTGACATAACATCATGGTAATTTAGTAGAAGAGGCCATTGGGGGAGGATTTTCATTTCTTCATTGTCTTTAGCAAGAAACAAGCTGTAGAGATTCTGTTAAATAAAAGGGCAGATGCACTGAAAATTAGTAAGCAAACTTAAGGGGCAAAAGGTTTTTTTGTATGGTATCTTTTATTCAACCACATGTTAGACACACTTTTGGGCATAAAGCACCATTCTTTAGATCTGGGAAAGAAGTAGACACAGCCTAAGCTAGATAACAGAGAAAAACAGTTTACTTTTACCTCCATGTAAATGAAAGCAGAAGCAGTTTCAAAAAAATGAAATGACCAGGAACAGTTTAAAAAAAATAAAGTGCAACTGAACAGACACCCAAGTTGTATAGAAGACCAATGCCAGTCAAAAGGGAATCTCACAATTATGAAATCACTGAAACACAATTGAAAGATGGACCTGGAAACAAAAATTAATGTCCTTTCTGGCTGTGTCTACATGAGACAATTTACTGCACGGTAGACTAACCTACTGCACAGTAAAGCTTTGCTATGTAACTGTGTGCAGGAGCTACTCTGCAGTAGATTAGTCTACTGCACAGTTTTCTACTAACTGGAAAGACCGGTAATAGATTTACTATGGTTACATAGCTGATCAGGTGCAAATTGTTCCCGGTCAGTCCAGGTAGCAGAGGGAAAGAAAGAACTCTCCCCTCCCCTGGGAAGCTACTTGCTTCCCATCTGTCTTCTGCCCTGGCAGCTGCCTACTGCCAAGGTCAGAATCATAGAATCACAGAAAGTTAGGGTTGGAAGGGACCTGAGGTGGTCATCTAGTCCAATCCCCTGCTCAAAGCAGAACCATCCCCAACTAGATCACCCTAGCCAAAGATTTGTGTAGCCTGGTTTTAAAAATCTCCAAGGATGGAGCTTCCACCACCTCTCTGAGTAACCTGTCCCAGTGTTTTACTACCTTCCTAGTGAGAAAATTCTCTCTCATATCTAACCTAAACTTCCCTTGCTGCAACTTGAGACCATTGCTCCTTGGTCTGTCATCTGCCACCACTGAGAATAGCCTAGCTCCATTCTCTTTTGAACCCATCAGGTAGATGAAAACTGCTATTAAGTCTCCTCTCAGTCTCTTCTTCTCTAGATTAAATAAACACAGTTCTCCCAGTCTCTCTCATAACTCATGTCCTCCAGCCCCCTCACCATTTTTGTCGCCCTCCACTGGACTCTGTCCAATTTGCCCATATCTTTTTTTAAAGTGGGGGGGGGGAAACTGAACACAGTACTCCAGATGTGGCCTCACCAGTGCTGAACGGAGGGGAAAAACTACTTCCCTGGACCTGCTGGCAACATTCCTACTAATGAAGTCCAGTATACTGTTAGCCTTCTTTGCAACAAGGGCACACTTGGCTCATATTCAGCTTATTGCCCACTTTAACCCCCAGGTCCTTTTCTGCAGAGTTGCAGCCCAGGCAATCATCAGGCAACCTGTACTGGTGCATGGGATTGTTCCATCCTAAGTGCAGGACTTTGCACTTGTTCTTGTTGAACCTCATGAGATTCCATTTGGCCCAATCCGCCAATTTGTCTAGGTCACTTTGAATCCTAGCCCTACCTTTCAGTGTACTCCCCCCACCCCCCTGGTTGATGTCATCTGCAGACTTATTGAGGGTGCACTTTATGCCATCTTCCAGGTCACTGATGACGACATGTCACAATGTTGCCTTCCCCATTCAGTAAGGGACCCACACTTTCCCTAATCATTCTCTTGCAACCATCATACTTGTAGAAACCCTTCTTGTTACCCTTCATATTCCTTGATAGCTGCAATTCCAATTGCGCTTTGGCTTTCCTGACTTCATCCCTGCATGCCCGAGCATTGCTCTTATATTCTTCCCTATTTATTTCTTCAAGTTTCCACTTCCTACAAGCTGCCTTTTTGTGATTTAGTTTACTGAAGAGTTCCCTGCTAAGCCAAGCTGGTTTTCTGCCATACTTGCTAGTTTTCCTGTGCATCGGGATTTTTTGTTGCTGCACTTTCAGTAAGGCTTCCTTAAAATACAGCCAGCTCTCCTGGACTCCTCTCCCCCTCAGTCTGGCTTCCTAAAGGGATCCTGCCCATGAGTTTCCTGAGTGAGCCGAAGTCTGATTTTCTGAAGTCCAGGGTCCTTACTTTGCTTCTCTTCATCCTTTCTTTCTTCATGATCCTGAACTCAATCATCTCGTGGTCACTGCCGCCCAAGTTGCCATCCACTACTACATTCCCCACCAATTCTACCCTGTTTGTGAGCACCAGGTCAAGAAGAACATGGCCCTAGTTGGCTGCTCCAGCACTTGCACCAGGAAGTTGTCCCCACCACTCTCCAAAAACTTCCTGAATTGCCTGCACACTGCTGTATTGCCCTCCCAAGAGATGTCAGGGTGACTGAAGTCCCCCATGAGAACCAGGGCCTGTGATTGGGAAACTCCCACTAGCTGTTTGAAGAAAGCCTCATCCACCACTCCCTCCTAGTCTGGTGGTCTATAGCAGACCCCCACCATGACATCACCCTTGTTGCTGTCCCTTCTAACCTTAACCCAGAGACTCTCAACAGGCCTATCTCCAGTTCCATACTGGAGCTCTGAGCAATGATATGGCTCTTTTACATAAAGTGCAACCCCTCCTCCTCTTCTCCCCAGCCTGTCCTTCCTGAACAGTTTGTACCCAGGTCCTGAACAGTTTGAACCCAAGCAGTGAGGTCCGATCACAGAACCCAGGTGAGGACAATGTCCCTTTGTCCACACAGCAGGCAGCTCCCAGCCTCAGATCCGAGATCAGAGCCAGGGCTGGGAGCTGCCTGCTGCAGGGGCAAAGGGACATTGTCCCCACCTGGGCTCTGCAACTGGAGCTGGCCCCAGTAGCAGGCAGCTGCCTGAGGTAGGGGTGCAGGGTGAGAGGCAACTGTAGATATGCTGTCAGGGAAAGCTTACTGTGAAGTATTTTATTGCACAGGAAGCTTTCTGTACATTAATTGCACATGTAGATGTGCCCACTGGGCATTAAAAATAATGGACTAAACACAGGCAATGACTAAAAAGCCGGTGTCTACTTCTTTCCCAGAGCTGAAGAAAGGTGTTTTCTGCCCCAAATTTTGTCCAGCTTCTTTCCCAAACACATAGCTGTTCATTGGTGACGTGTAGGGGGTGTATGTGGATGCACATGCACCCCCTGAGCTTGGCAGTGCACACCCTGAAAAAAGCACTGCTGATGCTGCCAGCAGTGTATCATGGCTGTAACAATGCTCCAACCCAAACCAAATGTATTGACCTATCAAGAGCTCTGAAAATAAAAAGACAATACAAACCTTTTTTCCACTCTCAGAAAGCACAAGTGAAGGAAGGATAGACACTATGTGATCTGCAATGCTACGATCCGTGCCATCTTCTCGGGGCTCTGGGACTACCAAATTTGGTGGTGTAATGTCTTTTTCAGTTGCAACAATCTACAAAGAAGAAAACATACAACATTTTTTTACAGCACTGATTGCTAATCATCTTAATTTAAGAGTATCAAAGTATAGTCACATATTCATAATTTTCTCAAAAATCATTATCCCCATAAGTTCTCTCTTAGTATTGGGTGAAAAAGGCACAAGTAAAACATTTATTTCCAATGGAAATTTCCAATACTTGACTTCTGATTGAAGGTTAGGTTTTGGAAAAGTATGGTAACATTCTTTCACTATTTTATGGCATTATGAAAAAGGAAAGAAAACCTTTCTGACAGAAAAACATTTGAGAATTTTAATGTACTTGGACAATTAAAAATGGCTGCATATAAGAAACTGAATCTTATATGAATTGTCTTTAGTAAAGTGAAAGGCAAGGCTTTTTGTAGATGTAACAAGCTCATACTTTCTCCTTGTCCCAGGTGCAATGTTGCCTGCATTTCCTGCTCTGCCCTAGCCAGCCCTCCTCCCCAGGTGTCTGAGATTATCTCATCTTCCTTTTCTTGATTCTACTCCATCTGCTGGTAACTAGAGAGAAGGAGCATCTAGTTGGCAGAGTTCATGGCTTTGCTGTTACCCTTGGTATTCCTCTTCCTCCCCACACATAAGTTTTTTGGGATCTTTTTCCCCAGGCCAGTCTTTTCCTTTTAAAGTTTCCAACTCAGGGATTGGCAACCTATGGCCTGCAGGCCAGATCTGGCCCTTAGAGAGGTTCAGGTCTGATCTTCCATGGGGCACTGGGGGCATGGACCTGCCCCAAGCCACCTGCTGCTTCATAGTGTCTGAGTTTATGCTTACTGCAGAGGGATTGGGAATTTTATAGCCAGCCACTCATAGGTGGGGACAGGCAGTGTTACCTTTCAGCTCTGTTCTTGGGGAACCCCGGCACAGTATGCAGTCTGTCTGACTCACAAAGGACTCAGCCCCCCACCCCTGAACAAGAACTGATTAGAGGAAGGACTTACAAAAGACAATGAAGATGCAGTGGGAGACACATCTAAAGCCCTCCAGACAAGGGTGATAGGAGTGAAGCAACTCCCCTGGCCTCATTTACATTGGAGATGAAATTGGATGACAAGTCATTTACATGGGAGATGGGACAGGAAAGTACCTTCATTAGGACTGCACTGGATTCTGGGACCAGAAAAGCAGGGGAACACTGCATGATGGGGGATCTATGCTCCAAACATTTATCAACCCATGTCTACACACACTCAGCTCAGCATTTATCAGACCAATTGTAGTAATGACTCCTTTTTTGGTGCCCAAAACACTGAATCTGCCTGTCTGTATTGTGAGCTCCCTCAGAGTAATGCCACCCATAGCCAGGAGTGATCAGTTCCTATTATCCAGCATATAAGCCATTGTTTACCCATAAACAAATCTAGTGTTCTCCCTTGAGCCATTGTTAGTTCTCTACAAAAACCCCTACCCAAGCTCAAGTTTTTGTCCTGGTGCTAATTCTTTCTCTGAACCTCACTTACTCTTCCTTCCCCTTGACCTCCCATTTGCTCTGCAGCATTTGTTCTTTTACCTAAGCTAAAGATCCCTGTAATGCCCAAAACTATGGTGAGGTCTGCTCATCAAGTGAGTTACTACTAGGACCATAGTGACAAGAAATTGGGACATGTTGAGTTTTAAGGTGCATGAGGGTATCAGCTGAAAGTGCTGATTGGACCCACCCTGCTCAGATGTACTCCACTAGTGTGTGTGTATGTGTGTCTAACTGCATTTATTACTGTCCTTCTGAAATAAGGGATGAACCAAGTTCAAGGCACATGTGGGTATCAGCCTGTCAATGCTGAATAACCCGGCCTGGCTCAGATGTGCTCTGTTAACCCATGTGTTTGTATCTGACTGCATTTTATTGTTGCCCTGATGAAGTGAGTTCAAGGCATATGAGGATGTTAGCCTGTCAATGCTGCATAACCTGGCCTGGCTCAGGCATATCCTGTTGATCTCTGTGTGTGTATGTGCATCTGATTTGGTGGTTTGAGGAACCCAGCCCCATTAAAACTGAGTCCTGCAAGATGGCTCCATTGGGGGTGAGGACTTGCAGAAGGGAGAGATACAGATCCATATAGAAACACAAGTAACACAAGCAGCACATTTATAGAATTACAGAGACCACAGAAACGTACCCTAATAAACGAGCACACCCCAAAGTGACGGGCAAATCTGGTAACAGCAGAGACTTTTGCTCCACAGTGATGGCTGGGTTGTAAGCTGTGGCCCATGCTGCCACAAGGCCACTGAGTTCTCTTCAGATTCTGAATAGGATCAGTACCAAGCCTGCCTTCTCTGTGGCCTGCTAGACCTCCCTATATTATCTGCAGGCTTACTCCAGTCATTTCACCTGGGTTTCTTCTCTTCCTATTCCAGACAGAGCTCTTGCCTTCCCCCAGCCAGAGGGCTTTCTAGTCCCATCTCCCCTCCCCACACCTTTCTGCTATGGGGGTTCTTCCTTTTGCTCTCAGGGGTATAGCCTCCAGCCTGTCTGGCTGCTCCTTTAGGCCCTGTCCCTTCTTCCCTCTAGTGGGGACTAAAGAAGCCCTGGTAGAGTGGATAGTATCTTTTATTGAGGCAACTGCATGGTTCAATGTTCGAGATAGGAGACAACCTTCTGAATGCAATGCACTCTTCTACAGGTCACCTCAACTATACAGGTCACCTGAAGAAAAATGCACTCCATTTGAAAGCTTGCCTAAGTTTATCCCAACTATATAGTTGGTGTAATAAAAGATATCACCAACAAAAATCCTTGCCTCTTGCATATTTCCTGAATTATCATGGCTACACTGGGGTGGGCAGGGAAATCCACAGCCAAAGTCAGAATGAACTGGGGTCAGAAGCTGAAGCCAGAGCCAAGGTAAACTAAGAGTCACAGAAGAAGCACAAGTCAGAGTTGAAGGTCAAACCAGACCATGAGTGGGGACCAGAATAAAGGACTTCCAAGGGTCTTAACAGAGTCAGAAGCCAGGGTCAGAGCCAGGAGTCAATAGACCACCATGATAAAGTATACAGGTGATCAGGAGCAAAGACTTTCACCTTTGCCCAAACAAGGAGACTGGGGCAGGATCTGGCTTTTAAAGGTTAAAGCAAGTGGGGCTTGCTGCCCATGACTTCAGGGGATAGGCTGCCCTGATTGCTTCATTCAGCCCAGCTGGAACCAGGGCACTGCTTTGGCCTTGGTGAAGGTGGTGCTTGTTCTGGGGATGACTTGCCCTAATCTCTTGATTGGCACCTGCTGGGTCAGTGGTTCTGGCTTGGCCTCAGTACAGTAATCCCCTTTCTAGGGCAACCTTTCAGTGCTTTTGGACCAGGTTTCTCTGGGTGGGCCTGATGGAATGCTCAGACTGTCAGGGGCATGCACATTCTCTGCAGGTTCCCATGAGTGGTCTGCTGGCCTACAGCCTTCCTAGTCAATTAAATATTGAAGCCTTTGCCACATTCTCCAGATGTCAAGGGCCTCCTTGACTGTAAACTTATCATGCCCCTGGACAAGCACAGGTGAGGGAGGGGGAGTGGAGGCTCCTGGAAAGGGGTTCTCAGTGTATGGTTTCAACAGGGAGATGTGGAACACAGGATAGACCTGCATGGAATAAGGAAGCTTCAGGCAGAAGGCCACTGGGCTGATAACTGTGGTGACTGGGTAGGGTCCAAATAATTAGTGATTGAGTCTGGTGGAGGGATGATTGGTATTCAAGTGCTGGGCAGGTCATACCTTGCCCCCTACTTTAAACACAGGGACTTTGAAGTGGTGTTGGTCCGCATACTGTTTGTAGGCCTCTCTTGCCTACCGAAAGTAGCTTGTCAGGTCCTCATATATGCTGCAGGTGGGTCACCAGGTTGACAGTTGTAGGGGTTGGTGAGGCAGAGGGTACAATGGAAGTAGGGGTGGAGGCCATAATTAGCATAAAAGGGGCTGAGCTGGGCAGAGAAGTGGTCCAGGTTGTTGTAAGCTAACTCAGCTGGGGTAGGAGGGTGATCCAGTCACCTTGATGGAAGTCTAAAAATGAGGCACTGCAGGTACTGTTCTAACACCCTGGTGAACACCTACGATACCTTGCTGTGCCCCGCTTATCAGTTAGTAGGCGGCCACCTGAGGCTGAAGAGGTCCAGGTCCCTCAGTCTCTTTTCATAGGGCTTGGCTTGGAAACCCTTAACCATATGAGTGGCCCTCCTCTGGGCCCTCTCAAGGCTATCCACATCTTTCTTAAAGTACGGCACCCAAAACTGGACACAGTACTCCAACTGCAGTCTGACCAATTCTGCATAGAGGGGAAGTATCGCCTCCTTGGTTCTATTCGTCATGCATCTGGTGATGCATGATAAAGTGTGGTTAGCTTTGCTGGTGATTTCGTCACACTGACGACTCACGTTCCTCTTGGAGTCCACTATGACTCTGAGATCCCTGTCTGCTTCTGTGCTGCTGAGGGGGTCATTTCCAAGCCAGTAGATGTGCTGGGTATTTTTACACCCTAGGTGCAGCATTCTGCATTTGTCCTTGTTGCACTGCATCCTATTGTGTTCTGCCCACTTTTCCAACCTGCCCACGTCTGCCTGCAATCGTTGCCTACCCTCTGGAGTGTTCACTTCACACCACAATTTAGTATCATCTGCAAACTTGGACCGAGTACACTTCATGCCCACATCCAAGTCACTAATGAAGACATTGAAGAGTACAGGTCCAAGGACCAAGCCCTGCGGGACCCCACTACCCACCTCCTTCTAGGTCGATACTAACCCATCTACTACCACTCTCTGGGTGTGACCCCCAAGCCAATTTGCTACCCACTGGACTGTGCCAACATCTAAGTCACAGCCTCTTAATTTATTTTTGAGAATGGGATGAGATACCATATTGAAGGTCTTCCTAAAATCCAGGAAAACGACATCCACCTCTACTCCTGTGTCTAAGTGTTTTGTGACCTGGTATCCTGTGTCTGACAGTGGCAGAACTGGATTGTCTGTAGATAAATTTATCCCCTATT